ACAAGCTAGGACGATGTCAATATTTTTCAACGCTTGATTTAGGACGGGTTTTCACCAGATTCAAATTGCAGAAAAAGACATACCTAAAACTGCATTTAATACGGAAAATGGCCATTATGAGTTCTTGCGCATGCCCTTTAGACTTAGAAATGCGCCAGCGACTTTCCAAAGAATAATGGATAATATCCTACGTTGGATACAAAATGAATCCTGTTTAGTCTATCTAGACGATATTATAATTTTCAGTACCTACTAGTTTGCAAGAACATATAAGCCGCTTAAAAGAAGTATTTGATAGATTAGGAAATTCAAATGTTTAATTACAGTTGGATAAATGTGAATTCTTAAGAAAGGAGGTAACATATTTAGGCCACATTGTTACCCCTGAAGGTGTAAAACCTAATCGTGAAAAAAAAATCGCTATTAAAAAATATTCTATTCCCAAAAATACAACTGAAATTAAAGGATTCTTAGGACTTTTGGGCAATTACAGAAAATTCATTCAAAATTTCTCAAAAATTACTTTACCGCTAACTAAACGTTTAAAGAAAGGAGCTGTAATTAATATTACAGATCCGGACTATGTAGTGTTTCGAACTTTGCAAAACACTTTTAATTAACTAACCTATCCTGCAATATCCTGATTTTTCGCAGCCGTTTATTCTTTCTACGGATGCAAGTAATTTTGCAATAAGCTATCGTATGGGCAGTAAAATACTTCCGGTTTTTTTACTTTTTGGAAAAAAGTTCCGGATATATACTAACGCAAAAGCTCTTCAGTAGTTGTTCTCTTTGAAGGAGCCCAACTCTAAACTTGTTAGGTGGCGTCTAAAACTTGCTGGATACGATTACGAAATAGTATATAAAAAGGGGACTCTTAATAAAAATTGCGACGCCTTATCTAGAATACAATTAAATTTAAATGAAACCGAAAATCAGCAAGGTACTTCAAAGGCTCTACTCGACTATATAGATGGTTTTAATAAGGACCTTGAAAATAACGACAATTCGGAATCATTAATAGCCGAAGTCGGAAATGTCGAGAATTTAGAAAATGACCAATTAGATGATAACGCTATCGTACATTCTAACCTAGAAAATCCTATAATAGGCATCCCCATTGTAGATTGTCCTGTAAATTTTGGAAAAAATCAAATTATTATTTCCGAAGTAAATTTTTCCCCAGCTCAACCTACAATAATAAAACTTTTCGAAAATAAGCAAAGAATACGTGTACAATTTTCCAAAAATGAAGTTATTAAATTTCTTAAAGAATTTGTTGTGCCAAAAGTAAAATATCACTTATATTTTGAAGACCCGCTCTACGAAAAATTTAGTGTTGTAGTTCAGACATTTTTTAAACATTCACTAATGAATATGATCAAATGTTCGAAAAAATTAATAGATATCGATCCAAGCGATACCAGTGATATTATTCAAAATTATCACGAGGGAAAAACTAATCATAGAGGTTTAGATGAGACCGAAACTCGAATAAAAAACCTTTATTATTGGCCTAACCAAAGAAAATCAATACAAACCTATATTAAATTTGTCAGTTAACCAAATATGAGAGAAATCCAATCAAACCTACTTTTAATTTTACAGCTGTAAAATCATTTCAAATTTTACACATGGATAGCATAACTCTAGAAGGATCAAAGTTTTTAACAATTATAGATTCTTTTTCTAAATATGGTCAATTGTACAAAATGAATTCTGCCGAAGGGCTAGAAACTGTAAATAACTTTATAAAATTTTTCACCCATCAATGTATCCCGGATGAAATAATTTCGGACAATGGTACAGAATTAAAAAATTCATTGGTAAAAGAACTTTTGAAATTACATGAAATTAAAATTCACTTTGTTACGTCACAGCATCCAGAGTCTAATGGAATAGCTGAAAGGTTTCACTCTGCTATAATAGAACATCTTAATCAAGATGAATATAAAAACGAACCCATAGAGCAAAAGGTAAATTATGCCATTTTAGCTTAAATTCGGTTCATTCAGTTACAAAATTAAAACCGTTTGAAATTATAACGGGCCATTTAGGCAACGATTCCCCTTTTAATATTGAAATTGAGTAAAAATTATTAAACGATTATATTTCGAAACAAAGAAAAAATTCAACTTATTTATTCAAATATAAACGAAAAAATTTTAAATATGAAAGAAAAATTAGAGAAAAAGCTAACAAAAATCGAGAAGAATTGCCTAAAGATATACCTACTAGAGTATTTGTTCGTAATAAACAAAAACAAGGCAAGACAAAAAATAAGTATCAAGCCGAAAACATTAAAACAATAAATAAAAATAAAAAGACAGCCAAAATTATTCCTAGACAAGGAAAGACCGCTGAAGATATTCACCTAATATTAAGAAAAAAAATTATGCTTTTATTTCAGATTCCTCGCCATTGGACAAGGAATAGAAATCAAAAATATAACCCAAAATTTAGGATTACTCCCAATTAATTTAGGACCGGCAAAATTACAAAGAAATACTCATACTTTATACATTTTTTTGATCTAAACTCACTTTTCGAAGAATATACTAATTTAAATAACCAATATGATTATTTAAAGCTTACTTATGTTAACAATACATTTTTTAAAATGGAAACAGAAAACTATGATTATGATTTCATTCACTAGGTTAGCTATAGAGGAAAAATAGAAAATTTTAACGTTCATTTTAAATTAAGTAGAAACAAAAGAGGTTTAATAAATGGGTTCGGAACCATTTTAAAAACTTTAACAGGAAATTTAGATGCAGATGACGGGGATAGAATAAATAAAATTTTAAATCATCTCCAAGAAAAACAAAATAATTTGCAAAATCAACTTAAAATGCAATACTCTGTAAGTCACGAAATTATTAACAATTTTAACACAACCATTCACGATATTCAGCAAAATGAAATAACTTTAACCCGTTGACGGACAACGACGTCTATAGACGTTATTGACAATGTGCGCTCCGTGACACCTTAATCTAAGGACGTCTGTGGACGTCTTTTATAATACCTCCATAGCTCGGCAACAACTTCTACAGACGTCGGATTTGAATCGAAAATCGGTAAAGTGTCATCAAGCACACTAATTTGACTCTGTGCATTTGACGTGAGAGGTGGGGATAGCTAGAACATGGCGTCATAACGGTTTATGCGGGGCGCCTCTGCGGGCCTCTGGCATTTAGTATTTCAGTCAGTAATCAGAATGCAGCACGTGGTATGGCGATAGCTATTATTCGATATTTTCATTAGTTTTCAAATAAAAAATACATTTACGTAATTCTAGTGTTTTATTTATACCGACGTCTATGGACGTCTACGTTACAAATGTATAGAAAAATGTCTAGTATGTGACAGTGACGTCTATAGCCGTTATTGTTTTTTTTATATTATTCAGCTTTTTTAGAAGTCAAATAACATATATTATATAAGTGTTACTCAAAGTATGTGGTGTTACTGTAATATTGCAAAATTTAGTGAAGTTGCAATAGTGTCACAAAAATCATCTCCCCCTGTTCACATGTGTCCGTCAACGTGTTAAAAAACAACATTTTAGAAATTAAAAATATTGTTGAATTTCAAGCGAATTTCGAAAATGTCCTATATTTAAAATATTTGCATAATCAGCTACTAATAATATATTTCATAATTAAATACTATACAGGATATTGAAAATTCACTGACATTCTGCAAATTAAGAACGTTACATCCCAGTATTATAAAATCAAAAGAATTATTCATAGAACTTAAATATGAAAATATTTTAGATTTTGAATCATTAATTAAAGTTAGTTGTAAAATAACGAAAAATAATCAATACTTCTTATCAATTCCTATCAATTTCGAAAAACAATTTGAACTATATTATTTATTACTCATACCTACAAAAACGAGTCAGAATTTGTAACAATAATTCCTAATACAAAATTTCTTTTAAATCAAATGATAATTTTATAAAGCCTCTAAATGATATTTGTACGCCTGGTAAAATATATCAATGTTCCAATCACCTTCAGACCAATATTAATTTATCCTGTGAAGAAGAAATCCTCATTAAAGAAAATTCAAGTAAATGCCAATATATAAAATTAGAAATCACAGAAATTATTTCAGAAATTAACCAGTTTATGGCAGTTTTCCCTGCAGAAGAAACTTAACAATTCGATGTCCAAATCAAATTGAAACAAAAATAATTATGGGAATCTTTCTTATAGAAAATAAGGAATGTAAAATTATTTTTAAGCAAAATGAACCAGAGTTCCATGACAAAACTTATGGAAAGGCTCTTGTTATTAATAAACCTCATTTCTCACTAGAAAAAGTAAATATTCCAAAATTTAAAATTAATTTAAAAACATTGAACCTAAAAAAAATTCGTCACAATCAAATCATGCCAATTATAGAAGAAACTCAGAAAAATAAAAGTATTTGGACAGTCGCCCTGTATATTGCTATAATTATAATTTTTATCTATTTTATTTTAAAACGTCGACAAATTATTTGTAAATGAAATACCAAAAATCAAAGTACTGAGGAAAATCCAGATGAAGCAAAAATTCGACTTCCGGAGGAAGCCAACTTCTAGCAGGGAGGAGTTATAGTGTACAATATCAAGAAGCCGTCAAGAACATTAACCTTTGCTTCCCATAGATACAAGTGTCAGTTTGCTTAATAGACATTTTACAGGTTATTCACATTTGCACTTTTATAATAGATTTGTTTTATTCCATTTAATTACATTCAGTCTAGAATCCGATTTTGTTCATTAAACAACAACCTTTATTTTGCTATAGGTACAGTTTTTATTTTAAATAAATTATTTTTTAAAAACTACCTTACGGCAATTTCGAATTTAATATTTATATTTAATATTAAAATATAGGCAATAAAAAATACACCAGTAATAGTAAAATTAATGTATTCAACTTAGTTTAAACAAATTTTAGATTGTATAATAGTCTTAACTAAAATTGTATAATAAATCTAAACTGATAGATTTTTATCAATTAAGCTATGGATAATAGTCCCTAGAACCATAAATGCTTTTTTTTAATCAGGGCTTAGAATTAATTTAGACTTGTCTTCCTTGGGATTAGAAATAGGCACGGTACAAGATGGTCGCTAGTACTCCCAAAGCGATTGGAATTAACCACGACTTAAATGAGCTAAAACAAAAAAAAAATAGTTAGTTGGACAACACGTCGAGTGCAATAAACACTTTTTGCACGAGTTGCATATAATATTTTTTCTACGTTCATGCAAAAACCAAAAAATGTTTTATAGAACTGCAGTTGTATTATCCAAATCATAGTAGCCGTGATCGTGTACCTTTGTTTGAGGCATTTATTTACGTTTGTGTTCATAATTTGTAATGACATTTTTAATAAAATACATTTTTTTATTAATTTATTTATTAAATGATTGAAAATAATATAAAATATGCAATTTTTTTTAAAACGTAACACAGAAAATGAAAATGGACTAAATATTTGGCGTTGATTTGAATATTTATGTTTGTCATGATCATAAAACGCTGTAGTAAAATGACAGATGAGTGCAATAAAGAACCAGTTTTTTCACTAAATATAGTTCAATAAAGTTTTGTTTTTTGCATGAACGTAGAAAAGTATTTTTAAATATCCATTATTGTGAAAAAATCTCTCACTATTAGAGATATAAAATAGTTATTTATGTAATAAGTGTGTAAAGAGGCCTTTTTGTGACAAATGCGACAATTACATGAGTCAAAAAAGCCTTTACACAAGAATTACATACAATATTTTTTCTACTATGGTACATATTGTCCACTAAGAAATACAATTATGCACTAGTGTATAAAGTAATAAATGTACATTTTACGAACATAAATTTATTTGACGTTGAAAACATTTAATTCTTACAAAACAAAATAACAAATGAAACAATGCTTAATAAATTAGGTTTTGGTTGTTAGAAATATTAATATTAAAAGTGTAATTAATACAGCATCAAAAATTTATGGATTTTTGCCTTTTCAAGTACTGAGTGAAAATTTTTGTGACATTACTTGTATAACTCTGAGTATCAAGTAGTTCCATAAATTCTCTATTAGAGTCGCCAACAGTAAAACTAGCTTCTAGAAACGTTGTTTGAAAGTAGATGGCATCAAAATTGTATTAAAAATTTTATTTTTTGTGTAATTGTGCTATTCAAACAGCCTTCTACAACAGCAGATGACTTCCATCTTCCATGTTTTTTTACTGTTAGAAGGTCTCTTCCAGAATTTGCTAGCATAGAGGCCGAAGACCTCCTAAAGTGGTGGTCAAGTTGATAATTTGTTGCATACTAAATATAAGCATAAATAATTTACTTGTCTTAGAAAAAGATAGCATAAATGGTAAATTAAAATAAAACATTTTTTGTTGATATGCACAATTTTTGACATAGTCTACTTTACACACTAGTGCGTAAAGGGTTTTACTTTATGCACTAGTGAAAAAAGTAAAACTTTGCGCACAGTAGTAGAAAAAAATATTTACAGAAGGTAGGAAGAATTAAACTACTTATTTTAAAATTATTTTCAAATATACAGGGTGTACAATGACTTAAGTTGAAATAAATTTGTTTTTACAAGAATTGAAGGAAATAAATTTAAACCAATTTTTTTGCAATAACAGTTTTTCAATGTTAAATTTTATGCAGCATCTTTTTTTTTTCAATTCAAAACAAATATGTACAGGTGAGTTAAAACTCAAATAATTGACCATCCTGTAAGTTATATAAAGTACTCTAATTAAACCACCAGTTAAAAAACGCAACAACTTATATATTAGTGTGACCTTGAGTGCAATTTTAGTACCATTATCATACAAAATAGTTGCAACTTTTCAAACATTTTTATCATTTTAAATTAATAGGTATAATTGTTTTTAAAATAAAATACGTTTCTTAAGTGCTCAAAAGTAACTTTATTTAAATTAAAATTAGTAAAATAGCAAATTATTACTGTTGGTGTAACTCATGGGAAAAACGAATTCCAACCTTATATTTGATCAATTTCCTGATGTTGGAAAGTATAGAAAAAAGACTTCTTTCATTAAAAAAAAACAGTAGTCTTAGTAGTTGTTGAAATTCCCAAACAGTATAAAAATATTCCTAATAATCATCAATTATTGACAGAAATGTTTATTTTATTTCAAATTCTTAATTAAATAAAAAAAAATATTTTATTAAAATAAATCAACATGAAAAATAAGTTCAGTAACTTTGTCTTAACCTAAAAAGTTCGAATAAATTGTTCGTTGTTTTTAAATACTAAATAAAACTAATAAACCACAATAACTTGTACTATTTAGTTTATACAAATAATTGCTACCTTGGAAGAAAACTGACAAAACTATTTTTTTTTATTTTCTACGATTTACATAGATACAATCCAAAAATTTTAGATATTTTCCTTTGCATCGAAAGTGTAGCATTGAGCTACGCCACTTCTGAAAAGATAGTTCCATCTATACTATTTGTATAAATGGAACGATATTTTCAGAAGTGGCGTAGCTCAGTGCTACACTTTCGATGCAAAGTAAAAGATCTATTACGAGAAAGAGAGTCATAAAGACAGTTACGTCAGTTTTTAAATCTGTAAACTGACAACTCTCTGCAATAAAACTGTTACATATTGGAGTGTGTTCCAAAACTTGCTTGACGGTTGAGGTGAAAAAATAAAAATACATTTCTTAGAAGACAGTTATGGGTTTTGACAGTGGCGTAGCCAGAAATTTTCCATGGGGGGATTTATGAGAACTATGGGGGGATTTATGAAAACTATGGGGGGATTTATGAAAACTATGGGGGGATTAACAAACACTTAATAGCGATCAGTGCCAATAAGATAGGAGAACGGTAACGCGAAGGCTCGCCCTCAAGGGGGGGAGGGCTCTGTCTGACCCCCCCGTGGCTACGCCACTGGGTTTTGGAACGAATGACGGATTTGCTTGCTTCATTATTTTTTCCTGCTGTACTCGTAACCTATTATTTTTAATATATGAAAGCCTACTTCTTTATGCTAGAGTTTATTTTGGGTGTCATATGTTTATGATTTGGCACAAAAACTACATAAAAAGTAATATCAGTATAATAAACCGTAAATAAAAGAATTATAATTGTTCATAGAGATCAAAATATGTGTCCAGTGGCGGATTTATAAATTAATGGTCTACGGCGGTAAATTATCGTTGGCGGTAAATTATCGTTGGCGGCAAATTTTCGTAGGCAGAAAATTTTTCCGTGATCACTATTACTTCTTTTCGATGCATTAGGAGAAACTGAAGCAGAACTATAAATAACACCAAATAAGAGTATGTCGTCCACGAGATGATCTTGCAGAGAAGATGCCTGCAAGGATTTATTGAAACGTTGAAAAGATATTTACGATACTCTGAAATCAGGCTCAAATGACAGTCCAGAAAAGGTAATTACGAAAGCAGATGCAGCAGAATTAATCGAGACAATGACCAGAGTTGAAACTTCATTTATGATTTTTTTTAGTATTCTGAATCACATCATGATTGTATTCAGTAAGAGATATTGAATTAGTCATCGATTTGTACTTCTAATTTCTTTTATTTTATCTTCTGGTGAGAACTTCACAATCTATGAAAAGGAGGAGGCCTAGGCGCTGATTGATAAGAGTAACTAAACTACAACTTTTTGCTTGTGCCAAAAAGAGTAACATTTCGATAAAAGCGACGACGATGAAGAAGTTTTGTTCGATGCTAAGCATGATTTCAAAATAAACTTTTTCCTTACAATTGTGGATCGATTAATCTCGGAAATATATCGTCGAAAATGTGCGTATGACAGAGTGTTCAAGATTTTATAGGTTCTTTTTAAAATTGTCAAACTGTTGAATAAATAAGGAGCGAAGCGTTAAAATTATGTGAAGTTTATTTACAGGATATTTCAGGCGATCTAATTGAAGAGATCTTGAACCTCAAAAGGTATTTGATACTAGAAGACAAAAAAAAACATGTAAATATCAACAATATGTGCAACTGGATTATAAATCTGCTTGATATTTTTCCTAATATTGATATAGTTTTAAGAATTTACAAATCAATGGAGTAAGCAATTTTTCTTTGGAATGTTTGTTCTCATGATTAAAACATACTTACGCCTTGAATATGCCTAAAGGGAATTGTACGATCTAACAGTTTCATGAATTGAATCTGACACTGTGAATTCGTTTTTATTTAAGGATGTGATTAAAATTTTCGTTAAGAATAAATTCAGACGAAAAGTGTAATGTGACTACGAAAGGAAAGGCGATTTTTATTTAGTCTTTAGTTTTTGTTTTTATATTGGAATTAAGTTTTTGTTAAATTTTATGTGATTCTAATAATCGTTCGCGAAATTTCCTTATTTCTCATCTTAGAATCTATTTTTTGTTTTGTAAATAATACAGCATAGGGGGCGATACGGTTTAGCCTATAGGCGGCATATTTGTAAATTCGCCTCTATATGTGTCACGGAATTAATATATATTTTTTTAATTTAACATATTAATTTTCCCAATTATCTGATATATTATTATTATTTGACAAAGCTGTCATGATAAAGTACAACTATTTACCGTACTTTAAAGTCCGGTAAAAAGTTGTAGACTAGAGTAAATCATTCAAAAGTTTTGAAACTATATTCATAAATCATTCAGTTAATTTCATTGAAGGTTTTTGAACGACTTGGGCGAAAAGTTGTGGTTTTGGAACGAGCTCTTGAGTTGTTTGCTTGTCTTCTTGAGTAGTGCAGATTATTATTTATTCAAAACTGTCACATTTCGGAAAGTGCCGAGTTTTCAATAAGATTTTTTGGGCAAAACCGTCACATTTAGAGGTACCCCAGTATTATCTAAAAAGAAGTAAGTTAAAACATTATTTGTATATTATAAATAAAGTATTATTTTTAGATGTGTCAGTTTTGTTAAGAAAAGATTTTTGTACAATACACTGCTCCAAGAAATTAACGCACCATTTAATCACAGCTTATGAGGTGATTTAATATTTTAAGATAAATAATGCTATTGCCTGAATGTGCCCAAGCAATTGTATTCCACGAAGAAGGTTGGAATTATCGCCGAATAGTTGACAGATTTGGTGGGTACCATACACCAGTTTCACATATGGTTGAA